TTGGAATCTCCTCTGGGGTTGTTCTCTGGAAAGTCCTGCATGGTGTTATTAAAATACAACATATGGGAAAGATAAAATAAACAATACATATAAACAAACTAAACATGTCTAGATCTGGATGGTTCTACAGACTTACTGACAAGTAGATCCAGAGATATAGATGGATGAAAATATATGCAAATCTTGACATCTCTTGTAAACCTTTCACCCCCCTTCCACCTCCTGAAAGTGGTTGAAAACCCTCACATATACCCAGTGAAGTGACTGGCCTCAGGCGATACACAGAGATGAAGCAAATCCTCCTACATAAGTTGTATCTGTTTATCTGCAGTCTTCTCTTCTCTACATCGGTTCAAAGTGCTGAATTTTAAATGAGGAAGAGAAGAAGCGCCTCTAAGTGCAGTATAGACCACTTTTAATAAGTAACAAATTTAGAACAACTCACATTGTATCATAGTAAAACAGGCTCATAAGGTGCAGGCTCATAGAGATAGAAGAACAATAATATAAAGGATAGGTGCAGCGCTAAAAGTCAAATGTGCAAAATTCTGAATGTAGACAATATTATTGCATATAAGGTGCTGATCATAACAGATAAGGTGACATAGTGTTAGGACATATGAAAACACAATAAATATGGTACATAAATGAGAACCACAGATAGTGGTTAAAGTGATGTGAATGTCCAATATTATGAACGTGAGGATCATAAGATCTCCAAGAAGTGATCAAATTCTTTATCCGGAGTGGTAGATAGGGTGACCAATATGGAGTAAATTGCGCACTCACCAGATGCACGAATTAATCACACATTTGAGATAAACTGTCTCATCAGGTCAGCCATAGCATCCACTCTAGAAGATAGTCAGATTCCAGTTCCCTGCAGGGTCCTCCAACTGGTACCAGCAATGCCAAGTCTCCTCTAGGATGGGCTTCTACGAATGGTGAGGCTCACAGGGAGCCCAAAAAAGGATGCTACATAGTGTAATATTCTCTCCGGTACCGTTACCCGCTGCATGCTCTGGTCAGAGGATCCTAATTCGCACATCTGGGTGAGTGCGCAATTTACTCCATATTGGTCACCCTTATCTACCACTCCAGATAAAGAATTTGATCACTTCTTGGAGATCTTATGATCCTCACGTTCATAGTATTGGACATTCACATCACCTTAACCACTATCTGTGGTTCTCATTTATGCACCATATTTATTGTGTTTTCATACGTCCTAACACTATGTCACCTTATCTGTTATGATCAGCACCTTGTATGCAATAATATTGTCTACATTCAGAATTTTGCACATTTGACTTTTAGCGCTGCACCTATCCTTTATATTATTATTTATTTAGAGGTTTTTTGGTTGCCTTGGTGTTTCAGCTGCTTTGTGTTTTGCAGCACTCACTTAGTTTGTATCTTTAGAGATAGAAGAACAGCTGTGTCCAGGCTATGGCAGCCGCGTCTGCGCTCAAGGGATTGTGGTTGTAGGAGAAAGAGCCGGCCGGCATGCAGAGTCTCCTAAAGATGGCGTCTGGAACGCACGTTGAGACGCGAAGTTGGCGTTAGCTTGATGACGTACAAGGGCCAGCATGCATAGCGACGAGTTTCAGAGCATATGCTAGACCTCTGAGGGTGGAAACGCACTCCTTTATCAAGCTTTTCGGGCCCCTATCCGCACACACACAGCCCCCTGAATTTTAAAGCCTGTCTGCAAGTTAAGAAAAAAAAGGGTGGAGAGTTTGAGTTACACACTGCAGAGCTCAGTGAGAAGACTTCTGAGAAACGATTGGAAGGGACACACACCCCTTCACACAGCACACAGGAAAAGAGCTGAGGCTGTCACTCTATTGGAGGTCCCTCCCCTGTCACCATTTTTCTCTTGGTGTCAGGAAAACTTGATTCATGCTGATAGCAGAGGAAGGAGACAGCAGACAGATGACACTTATTGCTCTTAACTGAGACAAGTACACACTATAGAGGGATATGCTTTGTTTGTATTTCATGACTGAGGTTTACAGCCACTTTAATTTCCCTACTGCTCCTTTAATATGATAGAAGACATCACTGACCAATAGGGAGGTCTAGAAAGAGCGAGAGGATGAGACAATGCAAACATGATCTTCAGATAACTGCAGCTGCCTATATCTCTGGAGATATTGATCGTTTTTACATGTGGTTTTCAATAAATGCAACCTCTGCATCTCTTCGTCATTAGCAGTTCATCAGAAAATATCACACATTAAAATTGCAAGAGAAAAAAAATGTATGAAACATTTTTATAAATAAAGCAATATTATCACGTGATAAGCCACTTTTGATATGTTATGACATACAAGAGCTTCAAGCATAAGGCCCACATGGCACAATATAGTGAATTTCTAAGTAAATAGGCTGACATACCTGCACATAAATCGGGTATATAAATCAGTGGGATTTACAGTTTGCATTTGTAAAGACATGGCAATGGCACTATTTTATGGCATACTGTTCAGGCTGGCAAATGTCACACGGAAAGTAACAGTGCTGCTGTAGTGCCAGATGATGGCATGTCACCAGTGAAATAGGAGCTCTTTGGGCAGTGCCGTTGAAAGAGTGACTGTAGGTGTGGGCACAGCTGTATATTAGAGCACTCCATCTATTTAGAAGCTGTAAATATATTCTGCAAGACAAGCCTGATGAAAGGACTCCTGTATATCATGCCTGGCAAGGGCTACCATAATCCAATTTCTACACTCACATGCCGTCAGAATCACTCAAAACCACATGAATAGCTTGGAGTGAGGGAAGTACTGGCCGCCCACCACTGGGGTGGTGACAGCAGAAGTTGGGTGTAATGGAGTCACTGGTGGTCTCTGAGTAATCTGGCCTGTGACCATGACTGACGTTACAGCACCATACAAACTGACCTGAATGCAAACAAAGGTTGAAAGAACACCTACAGCCTCATTCAATAAACAGCTTATATATTAAAAGTCTACTAACAAGATCCTTTGTTGCTGCCCATAGCAAACAGTCTGCTTACAACTATCATTTCTACAGTCCATAAAACGAGGATTTTAAAGGGTTGCTATGGACAGCAAGAAATGTTTCTTCTTCTAGCACTTTTTTCATGCATAAACCTCCAACAGTTCTTTATTTTTAGTGCAGAAGAAATCAGAATTCAATTGGGCGAGCACAATGGCAATATTTATGGGAACTCTATTGAATAATGCTGTAATTGGACCTTAGAGACCCCATCTTCAGAGCATTAATTTAATCAAAAATATTTTCGTAAGAATATATGTGCATTTAACATATTTTCAGCAAAAGCCTCACTTGTGTGGACATAGTAACAAAGTCCTAAATCTGCTGCTGGGTGCCACCATCTTGGATGTTATATCAGGAGCCCCAACAGACTCAGAGTTGTCACTCAAGTAACATGCTATGTTATTCCCCATTGGCCAGCATTGAGAGTAATTAGACAATTCTAAAAGAGGAGAGGGCTATGACATGCAAGGAAGGAAAGGGCTGTGCTAGGGAATTGACCAGTCATATTTCCTAGCAAATTCAAAGGCGCACTCCAGGTCAATTAAAAACATGACTTTTGTACTTATTGTGAAATCTTTTTTTTTTTAAGCCAATTGAGGAACACAGGAATATAGCAATTGTGAACATCTGGGTTATCCTGCTGCCTCCAGGAGGTTTGGACACTGGATAATGCAAATAAAGTTAAGTCAGCCCCTAACTTGCTTCCAACCGCCGTGCCTCTGTCTTGGGAGCAAGCATAACACAGCAGACAAAAGGGGTAGGACCTGTGTCCCTCAATGGACTACAAGAAAAAGATTTTACAGCAAGAACAAGTTTTTTTCCTTTATCGTCCATTAAGATGGGAATGTTTATGTAACTGTAAATTCCATATATTGGAGTGCAGTACATGACACAGGAGTTGATCCTTAGACCATGGGTTATATACTGCTACCTTCAAGTAATTGGCAAAAGCTTTGCTGGGAACTGTTCTGCCCACCCTGCACAGGTTACCCATATAACTCCACCCACTTCAATTTATAAGCAAGGAGTAAGGCGATCACTGAGAAGAGGGGAGGGACCTCTGTCCTGTACTATACTCCAAGACATCGACATCAAATTTACAGGTACACCAAATTTCCATAATCGTATGGTACAGGACACAAAAGTTGATTCTCAGACCATGGCATGTCCTCAAGCAATAAATCCAAAGGTGGACAACAAAACAGCCAAAAATGCAGCAGTAGACACACAGAAAGCACAAGAAGGGTAAATAGACCCGAACAGACAGAAAACATCAAAACCACCTTATACTGTAGGTGAGGCAGGGATCAGCAGAGATCCATACAACCAACTGTCAAGAAAAGGTTTAAAAACATTAACAAAAGAACAGGTATTGGCCCTGTGACCATTGAGAAATGAATGATGCTATAAAGAACCCAAGAATTACAACCTCCAGGGAAAATTAGTGCATGTGCGGAAAGAATGACTTGTTCCCTAAAGCTCTAAAGAAAGGTAAATTAGCCGCCGAGGCAGGTGGAAATCCCACCCTGTGAGAATTGGAAGAGGGGACATTTGGCAAGATAATACATGGTAGGTAGCCAAATCCATCCAAATCTTGACCCCATCCATAAGACATATGGTAAGAGTGACATGTTCTTAAGGCAGGCCAGAGGGAGGGAGAATGACATTACAATGGAAGGCAATTAAAAAAAGAAAGAAAAAAAAAACAGACAAGCATGATGCTTTGTTCCTATGTATCGTAAGAAAAGGAGGGGTATCACGGTCATGGGTCGGGCTTGGAGACCAAAAGTTATAGCTATAGGTTCCCACCAACCAGCTGAATAAGTGTGCAAGCAGATGATGCAGGCTCACTTGAACTGCGTATTAGTTCCAGGTTTTGCTGTCTGTTAGTTCCAGTTCACAGTTCTCAGGAGTGCCCACCAGAAGGTGAGCAAGCTGGGGTCCAGTATCAGATATAGCAGGTAGGGATAAGCAGATGTGTAGTCAGCAGGGGTGGACTGACCATTCGAGCACTCGGGCACTGCCAGAGGGCCCGGGGTCAGTAGGGGGCCCCATAAAATGCCTCTGGTACCTTTTATAGGCTTTTTTGGGTGTGTTGTGAGTGTGGGCAAAGACACAGGGGCCCTATGATCCCCAATTGGCCGGGGGCCCCACGAGTTGTCAGTCTGCCCCTGGTAGTCAGTAAACAAGTCGAAGGTTGGTAAAAAGTGGTTGCAGGTTGAGATCAAGCAGAAGCGTAGTCGAGGAAAAAAAACAAAGGTCGGTAACAAGTGGCAGTGGACAGCTGCAGATATACAAAAGAACAAGATATTGGCTGGAGAGAGCACAAAAATCTGACAAACAGGAAGCGCAAAGGCATGGCTTAAATAGGAAGTTCTTGGGAGGAACAAGGAGTTCAAGGTTCACAAGAAACAAGGTACATGGCAAGATTATCCAAACGTTCAGAGAGGATGTTGTTTAGCATTTCAGGTGGCTCAGCAAGGAAAGCTACTGCCAGACACAGCAGAGGTTGTGGCATCGTTTAGGAGATATTTATTTTATCTACAGGTAAGTTTTATTATAGGCTTACCTGTAGGTAAAGGTCCCAATGCAAAGTTTCTACTACTGTTAAAAAAGGATGAAAATCTTTCTTCTGGCCCCATAAGGATCTCCATATTTTACTACCTAGGGGAACTATTTAGCTAGGTAATGGAGTGCTGACTCAACTAAACTTTCAAGGAAGTACAGAACTAACAAATTAGATATCTCCTTGTGAGGCAGAAGACAAGGTTGCATAAATTTGGCGGTAGTTGCAATTATTTATGTCACAAGATATCAGCGCAAAATGTTTATCAAGCCTATATTTTCATTTATTTTCAATAACAAATACACTCAAAATGAAATTATAGTGCACACAAACAAAATATAATACCCATTTGTTGGTAAAATATAAAAGACGAGGTTGCATTGAATAAATACTAAACATGTCAAGCCTAAAAATTTATACACCCATAAATGATGCTTTAAAATACATTCACAGCTCATCAATTTCCAGTTAACGGTGAAGGATGGCCCTAGAATTATTGCTCTCACTTCAGTGTGGCATGGCGATACCGAATATGTGCAGAGCAACTGTTGTTTCTGTATGTGTGTGCACTCTGATCCATGTGCTTTTCTTACATGTTACAGGGCTGGGGGCTCTGAAAATGTTTAAGCTTTTTATCATTTTATATTTATCTAACTTTATTGATGGTAGGTAAACGAAGTCATAGTATAGTGCAGGTGACAGGTTCTCTTAAAGGGGACATCAGGGGTCCATTAGATTTCCAATGTCACCTCTGCACTCTCGAAGCTGACTGAGCACAAATCTCGAGCTGGGAAGGTTGGAGGTTGACAGCTCTGAACCCCAAAGCGATCCGAGGTGATCACTTCCAGGTTAATTCTCCACAAGCACATAAGGTTGTCCACTTAAGGTCTGTCCTATAGCAGTTTCACTGCTACAGGGTGGTCTTCCTGTGCAAAATCACATATACGTTTATACGTGCTTTTGCACTTCCGCCATGGGTGGGGAAGCCATTCTGCGAGTGCTGGTGAATGATCCACCGATCGGGCAGGACACATAACAGAGCTATGCCTATGTAAACAAGGCAGAGCTCTGGTCTGATCAGAAAAGGGGGGGGGGGGGGGAGATCATGTGTCCCTGAAAATCTGGGAACACGATCCCTACAAAAAGCACCACCTAGTGTACACCAAGGACATAGATAGGCACAAAGTTACCCCTTTGATCACCCTAGATGTGTAACCCCTTCCCAGCCAGTGTCATTAGTAGTGTCAGTGCATGTTCTTTGCGCTGATCACTCTATTAGTGTCACTGGTTCCCACAAAGTGTCAATCAGTGTAAAAATGTCTGCCCCAATATTGCAGTTCTGCTATAGGTTGCTGATAGCCACCATTACTAGTATTAAAAAAAAGAAAAAGAAAATCTAGTACATGTCCCATAGTTTGTAGATGCTATACCTTTTAGAACAAACTAATCAATATACACTTATTGGGATTTTTTTTTACCAAAAATATGTAGCAGAATACAATTTGGACTAAATTTTATAAAGAAATTTGATATTTTAATGTTTTTTTTTATTGGACATGTTTTATAGCAGAAAATAAAAAATATTGTCAGTAGTTTTTATTTATACCGCAAAAAGTAAAAAACAAAGAGGTGGTAACACCACAAGAAGAAAGCTCTATTTGTGGGGGAAAAAATTAGATACATTTCAGTTGTGTAAAGCATTGTATGACCATGCAGTTTTCAGTTAAAGTAATGCAGCTCCATATTGCAAAAAATGACTTCCAAGGGGAAGGGGGTAAATCTTCCAGAGGTCAAGTGGTTATAAGTGATCATTAACCTCCCACCCAGGGGTGGACTGACAACTCATGGGGCCCCCGGGCAATAGGAGATCATGGGGCCCCTGTGTCCTTGCCCAAACTCAAAAAAAGACTATGAAAAATGTACCAGAGGCATCTCATGGGACCCCCTACTGACCCTGTGCCCTTGGGCAGTGCCCAGGTTTCCAAATGGTCAGTCTGCCCCTGCTTCCACCACTCTTCACCTTGACACCCATCATGATCAGAGGCGGACTGACCATTTAGCCATTCGGGCACTGCCCGAGGGCCTACGGTCAGTAGGGGGCCCCATGAGATGCCCCTGGTACCTTTCATTGGCTTTTTCGGGTGTGGGCGAGGCCCAACAATCCCCTATTGCCCAGGGGCCCCATGAGTTATCAGTCCGCCCCTGGTCATGATAGTCCTGGACACTCAGGAGGGACAGGTGAGCCTGGGACACATGGAGGAGAAGGAAGATGGGGGAAGGCTTGCCACCTATCTCAGGCTATAGGTGTGTTCAGGAGACTGTTAATTACTTCTGCAAGAAAGCCTGCAGGAAAAAGGTAAAACAAACGGTTTACATTTCGAACTGCTGCCATTATAATTCTTCTGGTAGCATCAATAGGGTTGAGGTGGGGGGAAACAAATGCAGGATCCTGTAAGCAAGACTGAGTTCTAGATGGAAATACCATGGACGCTGACACCACCAAGGCTGTCCAGTGTAAGGAGGCAGATACCAGTCAGTTAGGGTAGAATACTCAATATTTACAGAGATGAAGGTCAGAAGAAGTCAGAATAAAAAGACTGACCTACATAGTGATATCCTATGATTTGGGGGAGAGCTGTATGTTCCATTGAACCAAATTCAAAAGTAGGAAAATAGATACATCCAAAGGGAAAAGAAGTAATTTACATCCTATCCAGAAGCCAACAAATGCCTAATGGGACTTGTAAGCCTAACCTCCAGCACCATTGTGTAACTGACGCTTGTATCAAGGGCTTTTAAACCCTCTATAGCAGCAGGGAGTGTGTGTACTCGTCACATCAACTGTCAGCTTTCAGGTAGAAGTGATTCTGGCAGCTGTAGAGCTGCTAGATCACTTCCACCACCAGCACCGGAATATAAAATGTTTAAATTCCTCCCAAAATGTGTAAAGCCCCTCTTTTTACATCTATGCATGTTGAAGTGAAATCATTTAAAACTCTGTTTTCTACGTTTTTATTTGCCTTTCTTATGTCTCTGGTGGCACTGATGATGTAGCCTGAGCCCCACTGATGCCCTCCGGAAGGCAACTCCATGCCTTCAGAGAGATATTGTACCTTGTCTGTGAGAATTTCCTGAGATCTCACATTATTGTTGTACTATGCATGTGCCTTACACATGCTCTTCATGGCATTACATTAAAGTGGTTGTAAACCTCAGACATTAAATATGAACAAAGCATATTCCTCTACAGATTGTACTTGTCTCAATGAAGAGCACCATGTGTAATTTCTGTCTGTTGTCCCATTCCTTTGCTATCTGCATGAATCACTTCTGACAGGTTTTACTGCAACAAGAGGTAAAAAGGTGACAGGGGAGGGAGCTCAAGCGCACAGTCTGTGACTGGCAGCCTCAGCTCTGTTCCTGTGTAAATGGGATGCGTGTCTTTCATCCAATCAGCTTTCAGAGCTCTCCTCAATGAGCTCTGCAAAGTGTAACTTCAAATCTCCACCCACTGCTGTCTGAAAGCTCAGACAAGCTGTATAAGAGAATAGTACAGATAAAAAGGTACAACTTATGCAGGAGGATTTGTTTCATCTCCGTGTATCATCGGAGGCCAGTCACTTCACTGGTTATATGTAAGGGTTTACAAACTGTCAGGAATGGACTTGCCAATAATGGTGGGACTCACCTGCCTTGTGGGCTGCAGTACCAGGGCTGGCCAGCGGGTGCTCTCAGCAATCAGAGACTCACCCCTGCAGTCAGCCAAAACACCTGAAGCTGATTGCAGGGGTTGTATTTAAGGAATGGCCAGACTCACAGTCAGGGCCTTGGTGTGTGTTTTTCCATGGGCCCCTGTATCTTGTATCCTGTGTTCCTGTTCCTGTTTCTGCCTGACTTGTTGCCGACCCTGCCTGATCCTGGCCTCTGCTGACTTCTCCTGTTTGATCCCTGGCTTGTGACCCCAACCATTCTCTGCCTGACCCTCTGCACCGCGCTGCCCGTGAGTTACTGAACCCAGCTTGTGACCCCGACCACTCTCCCGCCTGTTCCTGGCACTCCGTTTGCCCGTTTGCTACTGACCCGGCCTGCCTGACGACTCTTGCATTGTATGTATTGTTATCTGTAGGTGGTTTGGTTTGTTTGCACTGTGTTCATGTTTAGTTTTGCACTGCGTTTTGTATTGTTAGTCTTAATAAATCATATTGTTTATACCATATCTGAAGCCTGCGTTTCCCTGTGTCAGTCCACACACCTCTGCTCATACCCGGAGCCCTGACAATACACCAAGGCCCTGACTGTGAGTCTGGCCATTCCTTAAATACAACCCCTGCAATCAGCTTCAGGTGTTTGGCTGACTGCAGGGGTGAGTCTCTGATTGCTGAGAGCACCCGCTGGCCAGCCCTGGTACTGCAGCCCACAAGGCAGGTGAGTCCCACCGTTATTGGCAAGTCCATTCCTGACACAAACACTTTACTCTGTTCAAAACAAAAAGGCCTTCTCTCGAGATCTTGCAAAATCAGAAGGCTTTTTTACCTAAACAGACAAATGTAATGTCACGTGGTGCATGAGGGAGATGAACTGCATGACACAATGCGCTCCATCTCATGCATGCGCA